CCAAGCCCGCCCAAGCCCGACCATGAACCCGAACATTGTTGCCCAAGCCCGGCCCAAGCTTTGTATTTTGAACTCGGGTTGCCCGAATTGCCCGAATTGCCCGAGTTCAGAAACCTGTAGGTAGATCTAAGGGTAGACATAAAAGATGCTAATCTAATGGTAGAAAACTAACCAAAAAAAAATAAAAAATAAAAATTAAGACTAACTCTTTTACTTAATAGAAGACTAACCAAAAAAAAAAATAAAAATAAAAATTAAGACTAACTCTTTTACTTAATAGAAGACTAACCAAAAAAAAAAATAAAAATAAAAATTAAGACTAACTCTTTTACTTAATAGAAGACTAACCAAAAAAAAAAATAAAAATAAAAATTAATTTATTATCATGGTCGAATCCTAATTTCTTTATTTATTTATTTTTGTAATTTCTCCATTATCTTTTTAAGAAATGGAATAAATAATAGGATATTACAATAAAAAGAAATTAGGGGCGCAGCGTAAAATAAGAATATCGAAGAGAGAGAGGAGTGAGAGAGTAGAGTGGTTTGATTTGAAAAGAAAAATAAAAAAAAAATTATGGAAAGTGGAAAAAAGTAGAAAGTAAAGGAAAGGAAATAAAATGAAAACTGGTATGAATTTGATTGTGTTGAAAATTTTGTTAAAAAAAATATATGAATTCTAATTATAAGTAATTATTTTTATAATAAATTTAAATTTTCTTATTTTTTCTTGTGTTTTTTTTTTTGCAAGAAACTGAAAACTTAGTTACTATACTATTATGAGTTGTACAAGAAAATTAAGGCTGCGTTTGAAATAGCTTTCAAATTATAATTTCACCCCTACATACCAATGCTATATTTGATTGAAGTTTTCAAACATTAATTCCAACACCACAGTTGAAAATACATTCTAATGTATGTTTGGCATTGTGAGCTTTTGATTTTTGAATTTACGATTTGGGTTGTTCCCCCGAATATCCAGCTGGTTGACCGGAACAGTACTTTTTATTATTATTATTATTATTATTATTTTTTTTTTTTTGCAATTGCCAATCGCCACCTGTTATTTGGAGAAAAAAATTATATTTATTTTTGATATTTTTTAAATATTGAAATTATTTTTTAGACCAAAATGACAAATTATATATTTTTTTTTGAATTGAATTTTGAAAAGAGTTTGGTTATGAATTTTAAATAGAATTTTCAATAAAAGTTTGAGTTGTGTATTTGGTTATGAGTTATAACTTTTTGAATTAAATTTCGAAAACTCTTTTCAAACTCATAACCAAACAATTTTTCTTATTTCATATGTCATATGTCATATGTCATATTAAAAATTAAAAATTCTTTTCAAAGCTCATAACCAAAAAATTTTTTCTTTTTCAAATCATAATTTCAAAACTTACAAACTTAGCCTCCGTTTGGGAAGTGGGTTGGCTTTTTGGCTTTTTGGTTTTTTTGGCTATTTTAGCCTGGGCTAAAAAGTTTAGTTGTGTATTTGGTTATGAGTTATAACTTTTTGAATTAAATTTCGAAAACTCTTTTCAAACTCATAACCAAACAATTTTTCTTATTTCATATGTCATATTAAAAATTAAAAATTCTTTTCAAAGCTCATAACCAAACAATTTTTTTCTTTTTTAAATTATAATTTCAAAACTTACAAACTTAAAATATAACTCAATTATCAAATTATAATTTTAAAACTTTACTAAACGCTACCTAATTTTCTTCTAGCTTCCACCACTTGTGTTAAAAAAATTTAGAAATCTTTTTATTTTTTTTCATTTCTTTTACTAATGAGACAAGAAAAAAATAATTAAAGATGAGAGAGAAAAAGTACAAGTTGTTTTTTATACACTCTCTTAAATGCAATCGTTAAGTTATGGAGATGGGATTGCTATTGTACTAAAAGTGCAGTAGTAAGTGTTGTATTTTAATTTGAGGTGTATTATAAATTTATTTTTGTGATTTGAACTGTTCTTTTTATAAGATTTGTTAAGTATTTCATACTTATCAAAAATCATATTAATAGGATAACTCATTAATTTAAAAAATAACCATCCATTAATTTCAAATAACTCATTAAATAAATAGACTTTTCAATTTATTTTTTTTTTACGTAAAAACAATCATCTATTAATTTTAAATAATTTACTATATCAACTATTTATTAATTTTGAATATTTATTGAATTTTGTAGAAGCCTTTTCAATTTACGCGGTTTTTTCTTTTTTTGTCCTTTTCTGGCTTTAAGCCAAGGTCGGCCATGCGCGTGAATCTCGTTCTTATCTGTCTTCCATCAGCAATCAAAACAATGCAAATCGCATGGAAGGAGTAGTATCTATACAGCATTTTTATGTGGTGTGCTTCACGATTCAAATATTGTTGCTTGTTTGTATTACTATACACATTCTAAGTAATATATATAGCATTTTTATATACTGGTGTGCTTCATAATTAAATATTGTTGCTTGTTTGTATTACTATACACATTCTAATAAGCTTCATGATTGAATATTATTGCTTGTTTGTATTACTATACACATTCTAAAAAAAATTACATACATGTTTCAATCTTACTGTAAAACAAATTGATGTATATTGATTGATATATTGATTTATTTGTACATTTTGTATATTACAAGGATGTATTATATAGGAGAGGTTTTGGGAGAGTAGGTGAGGAGTAGGTGTAGGTGGTAGGGGGTGAAGTGGAGGTGGTATGTAGTGGGTTAGGTTTAGTGGAGTAGGTGAGGTGGTAGTGGTGTAGTGGGTTAGGTTTAGTGGGTTTAACAGCCCCCCTCAAACTCAAGGAGGTTAGACACAAACCAACTTGAGTTTGGAGAGAGTAACAAAACAGGAAAGTAAACTGATAAATAAAATAAAACAGGATATAGGAGACACGGTATGGTCGTGTCAGACCGATGTAGAAGACAGTTTATGGGGTCATGTCGGACCGGTGTAGAAGACAGTTTATGGGGTCATGTCGGACCGGTGTAGCAGGACAGTTTATGGGGTCATGTCGGACCGGTGTAGCAGGACAGTTTATGGGGTCATGTCGGACCGGTGTAGCAGGACAGTTTATGGGGTCATGTCGGACCGGTGTAGCAGGACAGTTTATGGGGTCATGTCGGACCGGTGTAGCAGGACAGTTTATGGGGTCATGTCGGACCGGTGTAGCAGGACAGTTTATGGGGTCATGTCGGACCGGTGTAGCAGGACAGTTTATGGGGTCATGTCGGACCGGTGTAGCAGGACAGTTTATGGGGTCATGTCGGACCGGTGTAGCAGGACAGTTTATGGGGTCATGTCGGACCGGTGTAGCAGGACAGTTTATGGGGTCATGTCGGACCGGTGTAGCAGGACAGTTTATGGGGTCATGTCGGACCGGTGTAGCAGGACAGTTTATGGGGTCATGTCGGACCGGTGTAGCAGGACAGTTTATGGGGTCATGTCGGACCGGTGTAGCAGGACAGTTTATGGGGTCATGTCGGACCGGTGTAGCAGGACAGTTTATGGGGTCATGTCGGACCGGTGTAGCAGTCAATGTTGGGACAGTTTACAGAGTCTTGTCGGACCCTTAAAAAGTCGCACCCCTCAAAAGGTGTGCCCAATCTTTCAAAAGGCGTGCCATCAAAAGGCGTGCCATCAAAAGGCGTGCCCAGTTTGTCTGGCGTCAAGAGGCACGCGATGCGCGTGGCTGCCTCGGCTATTTAACCAAGACGGAGCCCTAGGCCGAGGCAGAGGCAAAAAACCTGCGAAATCTACTGAAAAACTCTTCGTTGTGCTGATAGAGAGAGTCTGTAACACTCTGTTGCGAGAGATATTCTGTAACACTCTGTTGCCCAGAAAATGGCTTCGTCGTCCCGTGGTCTGCAGACTCTCTTTCCCGACCTCAATGAGTCAACAAGAGAGATAACGGGTGCGGTGGCCAGTGAAACTCAACCAAGCGCTTCCGGTTTTGCTCCGTTGAACTTTCCGATGCGGTCTGTGGAGCAAAAAATGGCGGTGCAGTCGGATGTGGAGGCCAATCAGTATACGTTGAAGTCATGTGTGGAAACCATGGCTGCGGTTACAAACTTGTCGAACCGGCTGCAGAGTAGGGCAAATGAGGTGCAGCAGTTAAACTCCCAGCTGGCTCTGCTCCAACGCATGTATAAGGATGCGCGAGCAGAGATAAGCGTGCTAAGGGCAGAAAACAAGGAGCTGAAGCGGAAGGCCACCGTGATGTTCCGATTTGGAGGGCCGCCATATGCTGCAGTGGAGGAGTATGGGGGAGTGAACGTGCTCGGTAGACGAGGAAGCACTGAGGCAACACCGTCAAGGGCCGCCCAGGACGGAGGTAAGAAGAAAAGACCGGCAGAATAGGCGAAGAAGTGATGTCGGTGGGTGGCCGTCTGCAGAAAAGAAAACAAAGCTTTTGGTGTTGTGTTTTGGTGGGAAAGAACGTGGGTGTGTGTGAACCTTGTCCCTCGGCTGCTGCAGTGTGGTGATATGTTGTTATTTTATTTTATGAGGGTGGCCTTGAGTGGAGAGAGACAGAGGTGCTTCAGATGAAAGCAAAAACATCCCAAAAAGAAAAGCAAAAGCAAACCAAACACGCCTCCACTGTCTGAAAAAAAAAGCTCCTCTCTCTCTCTCTCTCAAAAGCAGACCAAACTCTCTAAACTTATGGAAGAAGATGGAGAAGACTGGACGCCATTTTGGCTTCAAAGCTCCACCAATCGTCGGCGCCGCCGATGACTTGGGAGGCGGTTTGGAGGCAGCGGAGGAAGGGGGAGACGAAGACACGGTGGAGCGGCAACCGTGGCGGCCCCAGATGCGGCCGGACCACCAAGACCTGGAGTTGGAATCTTCACCCAGTCCAGGGCGTGATCGCGAGTGCCGAAGAGAGGATAGAGAGAAAGCAGAGAAGTGAAAATTTGAGAAAGATCGGTTTCGAACTCTTCGTCACTGCCATTGGAAGCGCAGAGAGAGAGAGAGAAAGAGAGAGAGAGAGAGAGAGAGAGGGTCACTTTCCTCAGGCCTGATGGATATTTTTCATTCCATAATGTCCCAGCCGGTACTCATCTTATTGAAGTGTCTGCGATTGGTTATTTCTTTTCTCCAGTTCGTGTTGATGTTAGTGCCAGAAACCCGGGTAAGGTTCAGGCAACACTCACAGAGATCAGGAGGAGTCTGAATGAGTTGGTTTTGGAGCCTTTGAAAGAGGAGCAATATTATGAGATGAGGGAACCTTTCTCCATAATGTCTGTTGTGAAAAGCCCAATGGGTTTGATGATGGGTTTCATGGTGATCGTGGTGTTCCTAATGCCCAAGCTAGTAGAAAACATGGATCCTGAAGAGATGAGGCGAGCACAAGAAGAGATGAGGAACCAGGGGGGCTGTTATGGTTGTTGCTGAAACAACGACTGAAATGTAGGTAACGAAGAGAGTGAACGAGATGATGAAGATGAAGAGACGTCTCAGGAGTGATTCCATGGCTGAAGATGAAAGAAGCAGAGAAGGATAGAAGTGTTGTTAAAGAATCTTCCATTGAAGAAGAAATTAGGGAAATTTGGGTTTGTCCGGCGGGCGGCCAAGGCGAGATTGCCGCCCGCCGGGAAGCGAAAATATTAGGTTCTAAACCTGCTCTGATACCATGTAAAACAAATTGATGTATATTGATTGATATATTGATTTATTTGTACATTTTGTATATTACAAGGATGTATTATATAGGAGAGGTTTTGGGAGAGTAGGTGAGGAGTAGGTGTAGGTGGTAGGGGGTGAAGTGGAGGTGGTAGTGGTGTAGTGGGTTAGGTTTAGTGGAGTAGGTGAGGTGGTAGTGGTGTAGTGGGTTAGGTTTAGTGGGTTTAACACTTACTTTCACGAATTTAACTCATAACTAAAATCAAATTAGTTCATAACAAAATACTACAAAAGTCTCACAAGCAAAACAATTTCATTTCACAATAAAACACCAAAAAGCCTCCAAACCAACACCTCAATTCATAACCACACACTGCAAATTTTTATATCCAAAATCAATTTGATTTTAAAAAAAAAAAAAAAGGGACAAAACTTTCACAATCAACCAAGTTCATAACTTTCATAATCCACAAGCTTCATAACCAAGTTCATCAAAAAGTTTGACCACACTTGATCACAAATCTTCATAACTTCACGACTATGGTATATGCTACACATTTTTTAAGAGAGGGTGTACATAACTATGGTATTTGTTTTCAACCTAAATCATTGATCTATTTTCGTTACATAAAAAATTAATATTTTAATCATTAAATTTAATATGGGTATATATCAAATGACTAAAATATATATCTACATATATATATATATATTTTTTTTGTTAATTGTATTTAATGGAAACAGATAAATAGTTTAGATTAAAAAAAAATTAAATTAAAAAATTTAAGATTTATTTTATTATAACGGTCAAATCCTAATTTATTTATTTATTTATTTATTTTTGTAATTTCTCCATTATCTTTTTAAGAAATGGAATAAATAATAGGATATTACAATAAAAAGAAATTAGGGGCACAAGCGTAAAATAATAATATCGAAGAGAGAGAAGAGTGGTTTGATTTCAAAAAAATAAAATAAATTTTTTTTATGGAAAGTGAAAATAGTAGAAAGTAAAGTGAAAGAAACGGAAAGGAAAGGAAATGAAAACTTGTATGAATTTAATTGTGATGAAAATTTTGTTAAAAAAAAAAAAATAGGCATTCTAATCATAAGTAATTATTTTTATAATAAACTTAGACTTTCTTATATTTTCTTATGTTTTTTTTGCACGAAATTGAAAACTTAGTTACTATGCTATAATGGCCCTGTTTGGTGCAACTTAAAAGCTGCTTATTTCAGCTTTCAGTTTAATTTAAGCTATTTTGATGTGTTTGGTTTTGCTTATAGCTTATAGCTTATAGTTTTTTAGAAGTCAGAAATGAGCTTATTCTTTGAGTGGGGCAGGAGATGCTTAATTTATAAGTCAGAAATCAGGCTTATTCTTTGAGTGGGGCAGGAGATGCTTAATTTATAAGTCAGAAATCAGTTTATGTTCATAATTATAAGTTATAAGCTGTTTAAGTATAAGTTATAAGCACTTTTCCACAGCTCTACCAAACAGGGCCAGTGAGTTGTACAAGAAAATTAAGACTGTATTTGATATAGCTTTCAAATTATAATTTCATCCCTACATTCCAATGCTATATTTGGTTGAAGTTTTCAAACATTAATTCCAACGCCACATTTGAAAATACATTCCAATGCATGTTTGGCAATGTGAGTTCTTGATTTTTGAATTTGCAGTTTGGGCTGTCCCCCGGATATATCCTTGGATATCCGGTAGGTCGTCTAGCTAGTTGACTGGAATAGTATTTTTTTTTTCTATTTTTGTTTTTGTTTTTGTTTTTGTTTTTTTTTTTAAATTTTTTTTTGCAATTGCCAATCTTCACCTGTTATTTAGAAAAAAAAAATTATATTTATTTTTGATATTTTTTAAATATAGAAATTATTTTTTAGACCAAAATGATAAAAAAAAAATTTTTGAATTGAATTTTAAAAATAGTTTGGTTATGAATTTTAAATAGAGTTTTGAGTTGTGTATTTGATTATAAGTTTTTGAATTAAATTTCGAAAACTCTTTTCAGAACTCATAACCAAATAACTTTTCTCATTTCATATGTCGCATTAAAAATTTAAAATTCAACTCAAAACTCTTTTCAAAATTTATAATCAAACAAAATTTCTCTTTACAAATCATAATTTTAAAACCTATAAACTCAAAATATAACTCTATTATCAAATTTTAATTTTAAAATTTGACCAAACGCTACTTAATTTTCTCGTAGCTTCCACCACTTGTGTTAAGTAAATTTAGAATTTTTATTTTTATTTTTTTTCATTTCCTTTACTAATGGGACAAGGAAAAAATAATTAAAGATGAGAGAGAAAAAGTACAAGTTGTCTTTTATACACTCTCTTAAATGCAATCGTTAGACAAATTTAGAAATTTTTTTATTTTTTATTTTTTCTTTTACTAATAGGACAAGGAAAAAATAATAAAAGATGAGAGAGATAAAGTACAAGTTGTCTTTTATACACACTCTTAAATGCAATCGTTAAGTAACGGAGATGAGGTTACTATTGCCAAAAGCACATAAGTGACTTTTATGTCTTAATTTAAACTGTATTATGAGTTTATTTTTATAATTTAAATCGTACATTTTGTAAGGTTTATTGAGTACTTCATGTCCATTAAAAATCATATTAATCGGATATCAATAATTATATGATTGATAACTAAAAAAATAAACAATACGTTTTTTTTAAGAAATAGCATAAAAATATGCAATTCAATCATATAATTATTGATGCCCGATTAATATAATTTTTGGTAAGCATGAAGTACTTAACAAACCTTACAAAATGGCAGTTTAGATCATAAAAATAAGTCCATAATACACCTCAAATTGAAATACAATAATCACTGTTCTCCTAAAGGCACAGCAGTGGCCCCATTTCCTTAAGGGAGAGTAACAGGTATTTGTGCCACGGGCAAAATTACGTGGGACAACGTCGGTGACCGGGCTGGTCCGATAACGAGATATTTTGAAAAGATAATTAAAAATTATATTTTGACTTTTTTTTAATTTTTTTTTGTAAGAGAGGGAAGTGGGTTAAAAGCTAACTTTTAATCCACTTTCCAAAATAGGCCATCATTGAAGACAACTGTAGCAAAATCGCTCCCATTTGTGTGTATAATTAATAAGAATTTGAATTTAATAAAAATAAAAATTAAGAAATTTCTCAACTTGCAAAATTTTCTAGTTTGTATGTGCATATTTATATGTGAGAGAGATTTTAGTGTTATTCAAATTTTGAAATTAAATAAATAGATTTATGAAGAAATCAAATTATATATATATATATATATATTAAGAACACATGCTAATAATTACAACTAAATTTCAACAGAAATACACAAAACAATAAAAGGGTAAAGAGACGAAACCGAAGCCTGCACGGAAGCAGTTTCCTTAAAACAGATTTCGCCGCCTCACTGGTCGAGTGCTTGAGGAATCCCGGCGTCTGTCTCCCAGGATACGACGATCAAAACCAGCTATGGCAGAAGCACTCTCTGTCTAGCTTAGCGAACAAAACAGTGGCAGCACTCTCTCACTGTAGGAACTTTCAGGCAAACTGACTTGTGAAATGGAAGTAAAAATTTCTGTGTTTGAGACTTGACAGGAGGGTCTCAATTTATACATGTATAGGGGAGAGAGGAAGAGCCTCCAGCCTTTATGGCTGTTCATAATGCACCATTAACCTCTGCAATAAAGGCAGGAGTTACAAACCCCATTAATGCAGGAGTTACAAACCCCATTAATGCTCTATTAAACTCTGTAATAAATGCAGGAGTTAGAAACTTCATTACCTTTTTTTCATAAAGCTAACTTCATGAGGTAATTTCTCATTCAAATCTGAATGGTTTTTGGCCATTCTATCTGTGGTGTAAAGATCTCAATGCAAAGTATCTAGACCCACTTGGACCCAACACAATAGATGGTTGGGACCCACTTTAATATTTAATTAAAGTCACTAAAAAATCATTTTTTCCAACAATCCCCACAAGAATAAAAATTGACCGAATGACTCGACAAACGGACACCGTTCAACAATAATGACTCGGAGAGAGAGTACAATGGACTAACTCCGACATTAGAAAAGGTAGCTTTTGGCTTTGAACCTCTCCCAGTGAAAACCTATCAAGTTTACTGGCTGATCAGTGAATATGACATCTTGAACTGCTCTGTCGTTTATGTAAACTGAGACAATAGATCTTACACGGGAATTACTCCTACCACTATTCTGTTCTCACTAGTGTGCCCTGTGTGGCCCTGGACACTAGCCTGGTTCAGCGAGTGGTTTCAAAGAATCTTGGCCTCCCCAATTCTTCTAGAAGCGGCCCCACTTCACACTCACATAGGTGACTCTACTTGAGTATCCTGCTATACTCAGCTCAATAGCTTAACACACTAGAGTCATTAAAAGCTCAGCTTAACCTCTACACTTGCAGGTATCACTGATAGAAGGAATGGCTGGAGGTTTAACCTCCTCAGTGACATACCACCATTACACACAATTAGGTTGTCCCATTGAACCTAGATCTTGGGATCTCCAGTCAACTAGGTTGGGTTTCCATTTCGGTAACTTCCAAAGGCTTCAACCCCATTCCTTTTGACGACGTTTCGACTAACACTCGATTTAACCCTTTGGTTAGCGGATCCGCAATGTTGTCCTTAGACTTTACATAGTCTATAGAGACAACTCCATTCGAGGGTAGTTGTCGTATGGAATTATGTCTACGACGGATATGTCTAGACTTTCCATTATAC